CCCGGGGCCGGCCGGCGCAGCAGCCGCCCCCCGCGCAGGGGGGCGGCGGCCGGGAGCGCCGCTCCGCAGTCAGTTCATCGCCCCGGCCCGCCTCATCTCCCTCCTGGCCAGAGCGGGGTTTAATTGGTATCAAAGCCCGGCTCCCCGGCTAGAAACGGGGCTAGCAATTTCACGGGTTATATACTTTAGAGACCCTCATTAAGTGCTTCTTAAAATGAATTTCCAGTTCCAGGCTAACCCCGACTACCAGATGAGCGGAGACGACACCCAGCACATCCAGCAGTTCTACGATCTCCTGACCGGCTCCATGGAGATCATCCGAGGATGGGCAGAAAAAATCCCTGGCTTCACTGACCTGCCGAAGACGGACCAGGACCTGCTCTTTGAGTCCGCCTTCCTGGAGCTCTTCGTGCTGCGGCTGGCCTACAGGTACGTGGCCGGGACCCGAGGGGAGCTTCGGGGCCGCTGTGGAACCGGAGCCTTTCAGGGTCCACTGAGCTGCGCTTTATTAACTCCTCGGTAATTAGGTGCCTCTTAAATCCTTCATTTATTGCTCCTCAAGTAATTAGTTGTCTAGCTTTTTCTCCCCCCATCCTCTCCTTTTTTTTTTTTTAAATCTTCCTTTCCTTTTCTCTTTTTCCTCTTTCACTGTCTTATTTTATTTTTCTTTCTCGCTCCCCTTCTTTCTCGCTCCCCTTCTTTCTCGCTCCCCTTCTTTCTCGCTCCCCTTCTTGCCTCTTTCTCTTTTTCTCCTTCTCTTTCTTTTCTTCCTTCCTCATTCATTCATCTGTTCATTTTGGAGTTGTCACATTCCTTCCAGGTCAAATCCAGTGGAGGGCAAGCTTATCTTCTGCAACGGGGTAGTCCTGCACCGGTTGCAGTGCGTCCGCGGCTTTGGGGAGTGGATCGATTCCATCGTGGAATTTTCCTCCAACTTGCAAAACATGAACATCGATATCTCTGCCTTCTCCTGCATCGCTGCCCTGGCTATGGTCACAGGTCGGTGTCCCCTCTCCGCCCGGCCCCGCCGGGCAGCTCCTCTTCCCTCCCGCCCGCCTTCCTCTCCCTGCCAGACCCGTAACGTCCCGCACCCTTCTCCTTTGCAGAGAGGCACGGGCTGAAGGAACCCAAGAGGGTGGAAGAACTCCAAAACAAGATTGTAAATTGTCTCAAAGACCATGTGACTTTTAATAACGGGGGGCTGAATCGCCCCAACTACTTGTCCAAACTCTTGGGGAAGCTCCCCGAACTCCGCACGCTTTGCACGCAGGGCCTGCAGCGCATTTTCTACCTGAAACTGGAAGACTTGGTGCCACCGCCAGCAATAATCGACAAACTTTTTCTGGACACTTTACCTTTTTAAGACTCTTCCCGTGCACTTCCACTGAACTGAAGAGAAAGTTCACCTGTCGGAAGGGGAATTCGCCTGGGCCCGAAGCGGCACCCCCGGGGCCAGCTCCCATCCCAACCCGTCTTGCTAACCGCCTGCCGGCAGAACGTCCGTGGGCATTTTGGCTCCGGGGCATCACGGATGCAGATCATGGACTACACAAATACCATGGTATAAACTTTTTATTATCAGCTTATAAATGAGTTTATTATTAAGGACTTCTGATTAAAAAGATGAACATATCTGGCGACGCCGGGTGCGCAGCTAAGACTCATACGGTGACAAGCAGAGCGTTAAGGTGACCCGCAAGTCTCACCCTCCTAAAGACTAAAGTTTTCTGCTGTAAAAGAAAGCTGTAATATATACAAAACCTAAATGTTGCGTGGGTGGCATGTCAGTAAAGAAGGCGAAGGCTTGTAAATTTATCAGATGCAGTTTGGCTTTTTAAAAATTATTCTGTGCCTATATATGAGGAAATATGGAAAACAATTCTAAAAAAAAAATTAAAATGAAAAGCTAAACGTGAATGTGTGTAATAAAAAAAAAAAAGAGGGGGGGGGGGGGGAGAATAAAGAGAAAGAAAAATAAATCTCTCCGTACCAGGAAAGCATGACGATTCTAGGGTGACAATGTTATAGGCACTTGCTATTTCAGTAATGTCTATATTCTATAAATAGTATTTCAGACACTATGTAGTCTGTTAGCTTTTATAAAGACTGGTAGTTATCTAAGCTTCAAACATTTTCTCAATTGTAAAATAGGTGGGCACAAGTATGACAAACCCCGGGATCCTCCCCAAAGGGACACATAGTGTTTGTAAACACCGTCCGACATTCCTTGTTTGTAAGTGTTGTACGTACTGTTGATGTTGATTAAAAAAGAAGTTTATATCTTGATTATTTTGTTGTCTAAAGCTAAACGAATCTTGCATGCAGCAGCTTTTGACTGTTTCCAGAGTGCTTATAATATACATAACTCCCTGGAAATTACTGAGCACTTTGAATTTTTGGTTTGTTTTGTTCCGTTTTTTTAATGTCTAAAATTGTCGGTTAATATATTACTTTATGTTCGAGTAATATTTTTAATATTGCCATATTCTGTAGTATTTTCCTTTGTATACTTCCAGTCCGGCACACGAGAGAAGTCGCTGCCTTTTTTTCTATGGTGTATGACAGTTAG